TCTCTCTCTCTCTCTCTCTCTCTCTCTATATATATATATATATATATATATATATATATAATTACACTACTAGAATTTGTTTTATTACATGCGACCTCTCCTGCGAATTTTTCATAAATATCTGCAAGAAACGTTGTTCCTGCAAATTTTCTTGCGAAATTTTATCTGCAGGTAATACCTTCGTGGATAATAGTTTTTTGCGAATTTTAAAATTAACAAGAAATTTTCCTGCGAAATTTCTTACGAAAAAAATTTGCAGGAAAGTTTTCTACAAAAAATAATTTGCAGGAAAGTTTCCTGCAAAAAAAATTCGCAGAGAAGTTTCCTGCGAATTTTTTGGCAAGAAGTTTTGCAGAAATATTTATTACGAAAAAAATTAAAGAAATTATTATAAATTCTATCAATAATTTTTCAACTTTCAAATATTCATAATGAATTCATCCGAAACATTTGTTTCCATGCCTCCAACATGTGATATATAATCTTTTAAATTCTAAAATTGTAGATTATAAGTCTAACACTCAACCATATAAATCAACTAGTAAGGTAAGTGTTACCCCAAGTTATATATTCTTTAATTGTTTTATTTTCAATCGATGTGGGACTTGAAGTTTTTTTTTTAAATATTAAAATTATAAATTTAAATATTTTTTTATTTCTCCTGCAGATTAAAATTTTGCAGGAAAATCCGCAAGAAAAGTTACCTGCAAAATTTTTCTACCATTTAGTAAACATTACTTGCGAATTTATTTTTGCAAGAAAATCTGCAAGAAACAAAATAAAATTCTTACAATATTTTCTGCAAATTTTTACCATGGAAAAAAAATTTCTATGATTATTAAAATTGTAGGAAAATTTGTAAGAAATATCTATAAATTATTTTTCACAAATAAATTCGCAAAAATATTTCTGCGAATACATTTTTGCAGGAAAATTTGTAAAAAATTTCTGCGAATATTTTTTTGCAAGAAAGTTTACAAAAAATTTCTGCGAATATTTTTTTTGCAGGAAAATTTGCAAGAAAATGACACTTTCTAGTAGTGTTACTAGTTTTCTTTTATGTAACAATTTATTAGCATATATATAAATATTTAAAATTTTATTGATCTTTTTTAATATATGATTGTCAACTTTAATCATCTTTATTGTTATCGAACGAAATATTAAACATTTTCGATGGATGCAATTTCCGATAGAATATTAAACATTTTCAACAGATCAAATTATGACGGAATATTAACCATTTCTGACGGATATTCCATCAAAATCTCTTGTCGGGAACCATAAATTTTTTACAAACCATTATCTGTTGGTAACATTTCATCGGAAAATTTTGACTAAAGCATCTGTCAAAAATTCTTACATTTTCGAAAAATTTAAATTCGTTGAAAATATTTTGTCGATAATATAAATTTTTCTACGAATTTTTTTTCGTTAGAAATATAAATTTTCTGATAGATTTATATTCGTCAAAAAATATCTGTCGATAATTTATATTTTTCTTGTATAGTTGTTGTAGAGCACCTTTCATGAAAGCAACTTCCATAGGTAGTTGTTGCTAAGCACTAAAAGATGTTGAGTAACACCCTTATAAAGGGAATTTTCTTTAAAATATTTATTTATTTTCATTATACTTGAACTATATTGTAATATTCATTTATCTAATAGTTCAACTTATATTTGAAACTTTTAAACTAAAATTTGTTCTATTTAATTATTTTTAGTTTATTGTTATACGATAATAAAATTGAGGTACTTGAAAATGTATAAGTATAAAATGAAAGTTATCATTTTTTTATACTTTTTATTCTTATTTTTCATTTCTTTGATAGGAAGTATATTATAGAATCTTTAAATGTTGATTGGAAACCAAGAGTCAACGTGTTATTTGATATTTTAGAGCAAATTGACAGTTTTGGGATGCTCACATGTTAATTTTGGTGTTAGAAAATGATATATGAATATTAAAAAAGAAGGTGGTACTATTACTTCATGGATAGAACTAAGATTAGAACTAATTATAAAACAAATTTTTCACTTGTGGTAAGAAATTGAAAAAATTATCATCCATGAATTTATAGAGACATAATCACCCTTTGCAACTTCCAAAAATAACACACATGCTTATATCACATAAAAAGATAACTGAAATCCAAACTTATGAGATTGATTTGACTAATGACCCTAGTTCAAGGTAAAAGTCAACATTTCAACTAATGAGTACATATGTTTAACATAGAGCTAATATTGGTTAGACACATATAAATAGATGTTAAAAATTATCTCAAAACAAAAAGACAAAAAAGTATGGTATATAATGAAATAAGATACTTTTTATAATGTTTTCAACCATAATTATTGAAGAACTCTTCTTTCTTCCATATATACCAAGTAGATATAAATGAGTAAATTACAAATGTATTTTGGACTCATACAAATATGTTATTAGATTATGGGTTAATTTATTAGGTATCAAAAAGAAGAAAACAAAGGAAAAGTGTAAAATTGTATGAGGAAAAGCAGTTAATTGCGTGAAGATTAAAATACACCTTTTTCTATTACACGTGTTAATATCCAAAGTAAAATAAGAATGACCATCACACAACCGGTACCATGAATAAGAATGGCAAACTTCTTAGTGTCACCGTACAGCATGTCTATAATGTATATCATCAACCTTCATCAATACAAATTCAGGAACTCGAGATTAGGTTAGTATATAAGGTATTAGAGAGATCATGAATTCTTTGGTTGGTTGTTGTGAGAGTAGACCTCGCATAAGCATCTTCGTATGCTTTCAATATAATTTTGAAATGTGATTTCTAATAACATTATCATTGAGTCTTGTAAATGTCATGTCAAAGAAGAGTTTATAATTGAAGCCTTGTATAAATTAAGCATGCTTGTCAGTGATTTAAAATAAGAACATGTACAGATGTACTAGAACATTATAGATTATAAACACAAAAATCCTAGGGGAAAAAAACAATATATTTAGTTTTTAGGTCATTAACCTTCTAAATGTAGAATCCTTGAAAATAAGGATTAGAGAGGAAAAACAAGTCATATAAATTGTGATATGTAAAAGGAAAGAAGAATTGTAAATACCTTTGAATCAGGTGTTTTGTTAAAGGTACATAACCCAAGACGTCCGTGGAGTTGCAACAATAAATCTTGAATAATCGGTTGTTAATGCAGACATATAATATATCATCATTTTATTACAAATCCTTTACAAGTGTTGAGGAACAAAATGTTACAATAATGATTAAAATAAATGTCATAACTCATCAAATGCCTCTGCTGTGACAATAACTTGTGAATGATACAGTACTTTGCTCCATTGCTCTGCAGAACAATCCCAGTTTAACAACACCAACATGTTTGAACTTTGAAGTTGGAGATTTGAGTCTCCCGGGTTTCTAACCTTTTGATGATTTCTGAGTACAAAATAGTACAAGCACTCTCAAACATGCTCAAATGGGAGGTCTCTTGAATGTTCATATTACCATGCTCTGTGGGAATGGAGTCATAATCTCTCAAGTAACATTTTTTCTACCCTTTAAGTTATCATCACTTCACCGCAGGGTGGTCTTAAACTCTTACCCCATAATAAAAGAAGCAAAATCTCCCCATTTAACCTGGTTACAAGTTTCTTCTCCTGGCTCTATGGTGTTTCATTTTCATTACTTTTCTTTTACGACCCGAATGCACCACAAAAATGACTACCAAGAAACCGAATACAGAAAATGCACATAAAAATAACACCCAGAGTCTGAAAGAACTAGGTATGACTGTCCCATCTTTACTATCACTAGCTAATTCCTCAGAATCATTTGTTGACTTATGATTGCCCTTTGAATCAAGATTTCCACTGAAGTTGCCAACTGTCCTAGAGATTACACTTTCCTCAGTAGCATCCTCTTTTGATTTGGGTAAGGAACCAGCTTTGGGGCAGTTCCTTCTTTCATGATGTAGATGCAATGCTTCATTTAGTATCTTCACACACTCAATACTGAGAAGGTTTCGCTGTAAACTCTCCTTATCATTGTGATCAAGTTTTGAAGGGTCTGGTGGCTCTGGAAACTTGGCCCAGCATCTGTTGACCATGTCAACCTCACGCCACTTCGCCTTGTCAAAACTCCAATTACCAACATTGAATTCCAATCCATAGTGGAAAACTCTATATTTGATGCCCGGTTCAGGAACATATCCTGGGTATACCATAATCTCTTTGTTTATAGTATGCCTTAATTTCAACTGCATCAACAGCATTACAGGTTATACAATGAAAGCTGTTCATAATATAAAGAAGGTGAAATAATTTTGTAGTATACCACTATATTGAACGGGTGACCCAATAAGTCTACCGACACTCGCTAAGTGAAGCTTTGATACCTTATTAAGAAAGTAGATTATAGATCTAACTCAATCTTACAATAGTGACTTCTAAAATGAGAATTATTCCTTACTCGTATATATTATTATTGTCGTCTCACTAGTAGATATGAGATTTCCAAGAAAAGCCATGTCCAAATTATATTATTATAAAATTTCAATAGAACACTTAGATTTTTTTTGGGCTTCTTTCTGTGTCTGTTTCCCATGCTTGTGCTTAGATGAACAGGTATGCAGAGTATGAATTATGAAAATTGAAAAGAAAAATACCTCTGCTGCGCCAAATGAGTAACCATACATTTCGCTAATCCAACCAGATCCATATTCGTCTCCAGTTATATTTTTGGCATAATGAGCTCTATCAGCCCGAACCTCCTCGGTTTTATGCAGCCAGAGTAAAGCAAATTTCCGCAAATCATTGATATGCATAATAATTACACCACCAACCTTGTCACAAGCCTCAGGATGGCTAGTATGCAATTTTGCAAGCTCATTGTCACAACCAATAAGGTAGCTAGCATGTAAAGAATATAAAACAATGAGTCATCATACTGCAAAAATGCCAATGCAAGAGCAAGACGAAACCCGGATATACAAGTCCATCAACGTTACATTTATGTCAAAACTAACAGGTTTTACAATGATAAATCGAATTCATCAGGCTTACTCATAGGGTGTTGAAACAGGTCTTCCACGTGCAGCTTTGAATTCCCATGGGGTAATTGGGCCTCTCATTATCATATCAGCATCTAATATCACTATGAATTCAGCATCAATATTTGCATGATTGAGCCAATGGAGTACTGCAGCGGGTTTGTTAATTGCTGGATACCTGAAATATAACAGAAACTCACTTCCTTGCCTAAAGTATAAAAAACTCATCTACATATAGGATATCGATAATTGCACATTTGGTGTAAATGTGTAATGGAGCAAACTATTTGTATAACATTGAAACAAGCTACACCAAACACGAGACAAAGAAGAGTAATAGATCTCATTCCAATTATGATACAAATGAGTAATCTATATTTTCAAACAATTAATCTTTGCACTAATATCAATATCAATGTTATATAGATCAGAGATTAAGAAGACAAGTAGTAAAGAGAAGAACGCTTTCCTTCACCCAAGTATTTAAGAGACCTGGTCTCCCCTCTATCTCACTAAACAATCCATACCCTCCAATTAGTCTCCCTGACTTCCTTATAACTATTCTCTCAGCATAGTAAACTCCTAAATAGTTAGCAAGCTCAGAGTTCACTACAAATAGAAATAAATAAAAACTGAAAAAGAAAATATCATCCAAGGTGAATAACAAGTTTGACCATAGTGAACATAGTCTCAGATAAAGTGATAATTTTATCATGGGGATGCGCTCATCAAGATGAAATGCTTTTAGATAAAATATTTTCAACAAAAAAATGCTGCAAAGGTTATTCCTATGAACACGTAGTAACTGAGGATTTAGTGGATTGACTTCATAACCATATGTTGATTGCTAAGTCCCAAGTGTCAACGCATAAATAGAAAGTAACTAAGAAGGTAAACATAATACAATTGAAAATCGAAAAATACACACACAATTACCAGTCGCCAGTTAATGGATGTCGACTCATAGAAGGGACATAATGGGTGGGAGCCAAGTTATGGCCCTTATATAGCTTTAATTCTTCATCGGAGCAGCTGAGAAGTCTAGTGATATTTCCTGGCTGTCCACTTAAATGGAAACTATGCATAAGCCCTACAGTCTGCCAATCAAAGTATGGGGTGCATTCAGTGGAAAAAACAGTATGGATTTTAGGATATGGCCCGGCAGCATCATGGTCGATATGATCTTGCACTGTATCCTGCATCATTTCTAGAGTAGCTGGTGTTACTAATTTTGGTTTAGTTAGTTCAGCAAAGGCTCTGCTTTTTAGAAAGTTCACGTATTTTGACCATGCTGGTTTAGGGCAGCCATTTGCTGCATGATGTAACAGAAGACCTTCATTTAAAATGTTTATGCACTCTATACTTAAAAATAGTCCTCGGCGTAGATTAGGATCTGTTTCCAACTGCTTTACCTGCCATAAGAAACTTCCAAATTACAGTAAAATTTGGAAAAATAAGTAAATTCATGTATGGATAAATCAAGTATAATGACTAAAACATGAAGTTTAAAATGCCAAGTCTTGTAAATACACATCATAGGAAAATATTTATGCTACGCTAAAAGACTAATAACCTGTTTGGATACAAGTTAGAAGTTCTTTTGAAAGCTTCTCTACTAGAAAAAGCTCATTATTTTCAGTAGAGAAGCTCCCAAAAGTTCTTCTAAGCTTGTACCCAAGCAGGCTTTAAATAGTAGTTGTTTCTCCTGTGAGAAAAGTATGCCAGGGAAAAAGAACCTATTTCTCTAAAAGACATAAGTTTCCTCCTATAAATAGTAACTACATTGGTTTACATACCTCCCTGGGATAAGGAGGCTGAGGAAAGAGCTGACCACAGTTATAAATGATGTCATCCTCATCATGGTCAGCCTTACTAAATGACCAATTCCCTACCCTAAATGGCAGCCCATAATGAAGAAGAATTGGCTCAACTCCTTCCCGGGGAGCATAACCTGGGTAGATCATCAAGTTATCATTAATCTTGTGTCGGAGCCCAACCTGTGAAATGCAGAAGAAAACCCAAATGTAAAGAGTGAACAGTAGGATAAAAGCAAAATAAATGCTCAAACAGTGAAGGTTAAATAGTTCAATAAAGTGCTCAATAATTAGGGTCACTGTAATGATCAAAATATAAAACCATTTTAAGAGAGTAAACTCACTTCTGCTGCACCAAAAGAGTATCCATACATCTCACTAATCCAGCCTTTTTCATATATATCACCAGTTATGTTTACTCCCCAGTGGGCCTTATCTTGCCGTACTTCTTCTGTTTTAGAAAGCCACATAGGTGCCAATGATCGCAGGTCATCTATATGCATGGCCAAAAGTCCACCAACTTTGTCACAGAGTTCCGGGTGTTTTGTGTGCAGTTGAGCCAATACATTGTCACAACCTCTTAAGTACCTGGATAAGGAATTTTGTTTATGCTTATGGCATGTTTTCATGGTGAGCCAGAGATATAAACACCAAATAAAAAATACAAAATATGCGTAGGGAAGTTTCACATTGCCTACCTCAATTCTTAAGGTGTGGCTTCTGTTGGGCACTTCACTCAATGGCAATCAATTTCAAGAATAAATCAAACATGTATTAGGTCCTATAGCCCATCTTTGTGATTTTCCTATTCTAGTAGGCATTGCCTCCTTTGGAAGGCATCTATGCAAGGGGGATGACTTATATATCTATTGGAAAACTTCACTCAATGTCAATTGGAGGGGTGATCATATTCTCTTAATTATCATTAGATGTCTCTAACCCTCTGTCCCCAACAAAAATTGTCAAATGAAAACATTAAGGTCAAGATAAATAAGAAAAACTTAGGCATTCAAAGCTTCTAAATTTTATAATTTGTTTGTTGCTAAATATGAAGCTACACTAACCCAATTACATCCTTCCATTGGATGAATATCTAGCTTTTAACACTATATCACTAGAAAAAGGAGTTAATAAAATAATTAAGATACTAGTGAATACCCATAATATGCTGCAACAGGTCTTCCTTTCTCTGCGCCAAGTTTCCAAGGTACAATTCGGCCACGGATTATCATGTCTGCATCCAGGATGATAACCCAGTCAATATTTTCTGCTTCTTTACTATGTTTGAGCCAATATAAAACCCCAGCAGGTTTGTTTATTGCAGGGTACCTGGATAGTAGACAAAATTTATATCTTGTGTCCCCAATTATGGGAAAAGGATTTCTACTGCCATATAGCATTCATGTGTCTTATTTGGAAAAAGACTTAAAATTCACATCACTGTAAAAACAGGAATGATAAAGATCAACCATTTACACAATACAAAAAGTTAGCAGGAATGTATTCATTATGGGGGAAAAAACGCATAAGCAGAAGCATGAAAACTATTTAACTAATGCCCTACATTAATTCCTTAGAAGTACAAGTCAATAGGATATTTTTAAATAAATTCCTCCAAAAGCACTAATAGAAGAAAAAATGAAATTAACTTCTCCGTAAGTTAAAATTAGTTTATGCATAAACTAATTTACAAAAGTTCTCTCATATTAATTTCTTCATAAACTTATTTTTAACCTATGCATAAGCTAATTTTAGCCTATAAAAAAACTTATTTTATTTTTTCTCCAATAAATGCTTATGGAGAAGAAGGCCTATTGGGCATTTACCCAATTAAAACTGGATATCCTAGTACAATACGTTTAATAAAAGACATAAGCACAGCAAACTTGTCTACCTCCTATATCATGATTTAAGTAAAAGACTACATACAATACAACCAATGTACTTATATTTCAACAACCAACTAATGTAAACACAAATCAAGAGTCAAGACTTACATTCACAGGAATGATTTAGCTACCACCAAACTTGCATACACAGTTCCTAGAGATCAAGACAATCACATATAGTAACAAATCATGCATAAAAAAAGAGGGGGGGGG